CCATGAACGTCTGTGGGAATGTACATGCCCTCGTCGCCAGGGAGGACGGTTTGGCAGAACGAGACAACGGAACCACATTTGTTGACAGCCGAAACAGTGCCCGTGCCCTCAACACAGTACGGCTGGTCCGGGAACGACTTGACGGGCGTACCGTCGGAGTCACAGTACAGGCCACCGTCCATGGACTCCGGGTACAAGTAGGAAGTGCCGGGCTTCCACTGCGCCATCACCTTGCCAGAGGTGCAGGCAATGGGGCACCACGAGCCGGCCGTGCACTGCACATCGGGTGCCATGGCCCAGCCGCCATTTGATGCGCCAGGGACAGCATACAGATCCGGGTCGTTGGGCAGCGAGCAGACGGCGCGCTTGGAAATGTCTTTGGGGATGTCGTCGACATGGCTGCGGGAGACGGCCTGCGGTGAAGAGGGCGAGGATGAGTCGCGGGTGAAGAGGGCGGGCAGAGACTCGATCGTTTGTGGCTGGCGCTTCTCGTCCTGGCGCGCCTCGGGCTGCGATGCCTCGGGTTGCCGCTCGTGTAGTGATGCGGCCGCGTTGTGGTTGTGGTGGTGAGCGTTGCGCTTGCCGTAGTGCTGGTGAGCCACACGGTGGCCGACATGCAGCTCGCCGAGGGCTGGCTGCGCGGCGCCCAGGACCAGCGCCGACGCGATGGCGGTCGGGACCGTCGAGAACTTCATTGGACGAGGATGACGTGCAGAGCGTCGCGTGGTCTCGCTCAGGCAATGAGAGATGGAACGAAAAGAAAGAAAGTAAAACGCAAACACAGCGCGTGTGCCGTTCGAGTGCGTTTGATGTCGAAGAGGAAAGATGTTCCCCAATATGTGAAGCCAAGATCCTGCTGCCAAAGATATCGGATCGTTCGTAAGTGCTTGTTGAGGATTCTTTCAAAGTCGTCCCGTAAATTGCGATTCAGCGAAAAGAGCCTTTGTTTGTTGCTTTTCTGAAGAATACAAAGGAGTGGTAGCGAAAAAGGAAGGAAAGAGACGAGCGAGCGTCTTACGGTAAACAGAAATGAAGAAAAGATGCAAAAGGAGTGTGGATGTGCAGCCAAGGCACAGGGAAGGCTATGAAGAGAGAGAAAAAAACGAGTGAAAAATGAACGTGTTGCGCAGCAGAAAGAGACAGGGGAAGAACAAGGGAGGAAAAAGAAAGATGAAGGAAAGGGGAGCCAGAGGATGAAAAGGGAAATAAGGCCAGTACCGAACGAGAAAAGGTTAAATGAGGCAGACCTATGGGGGCGAGGGGGCCGTGGGACTGCCTGGATGTTCTGGCCGGTGGACCACATGGAGCGTGACAAGGGTCGGAAGAGTTATGGAGTAAACGCAAGAAAATCTCTTCTGAGAGGCAAGCTGCCGTGTCTCGTGGAGCACATCTCCACCCCTGCACATCTTCATCTGGGGGCTCGTGAGTGCGCGTTATTGCGCCGTAATCTAGTCTGGGGATAGGCCCATAGTAGGGGTTAATCTGAAAATGGGCGGCCGGCGAACGCCTCTTGCCACTGGCGAGCGGGACGTGCTCAAAACGGCCGCAGAAACGACACGATGGAGACGTACGATGTAAGATGAGGCAATGATTCAAATCGAAAAACAGGGAAAGGGGAGAGGGGCATTATTTTCTTCTTTCTTTTCTCGACGCCTCGGCGGACAGCCGTCCCGGGCCTGCTGGCCTTTCGTTTTGCATCGTCTGCGCCATCCCACCGTGGCTTGGACATCTGGAACAGGATGCTTGACCGCGTCCAGGCGTCGTGGTGCAGTTGTTGTGGCTGTGAGTGGGGGGAGAGTCGGTGGAACGTTTGTTGACAAGGGGCTTGTTGACTTGGACAAAGTTTTGTTGTCAAGACCGCCTTATTACGCTAGTCGAGTGGGTCCACGTTGACAGTAAAATGGGGACGCGTGTGGCTGACTGTCCAATCATGTGGCGCATAAAACAGGGGAGGGTATTAAACTGTCAGGTACACCAATCAGAGGGCTGACTAGAATTGGCGCTAGCAACGAGCCGAAATGAGCTTCTCCCGGGCAAGCATTTCCATCAAAGTTACAAACACAGGGGCAGAAGGAGCGGCAGTGACAGAAGAGGCAGCAGCGAACGTTGGTTTGCGAGCACAAGGGAAGGAGCGCACAAACAGCTACGGAGCAACTAAAGGAAAGCGCAAACACGCAGGGCACTGAAGCGGTTCATGTGGTCCCAACTCAAACTTGCAGGCAAAAACGCTCTAAACATTGAAAGGTGCTGCGTGTCTCGTGCGTCAAGCCACATCTGGCATGCTTTGTTTGCGCCAGGGTGCTCGGACGCTGTCGTCTGCCGCGTCCGGACCGTTGTGCTTCTTCTTTCCTTGATTCTTCCCCTTCGCGTCTTCACTATCGGACCGTCATCTATCTCGTCCCGTCTGCATCTACTATATTTACAAGATACAATACTTGCAGACGGATGCGGGATGCGATGAACATGCGGGCGCAATCGATGCAATGGCGCACTCTCGGTCCGTTTAGCACGCGAGCGATGGCCTGTCGCCAACTCCAAGCACGGAATCCCTGAATATACGGTCATATCGATCCCGTGTGGCGGACAACAGGAACGACACAGCACCCGCCTCTGGGGCGCCATGCAAGGCACAAACAAGCAATCCTGTTTTCATATGGAAGCGCACCTCGCATCAAAGGCGGCCGGCCTCTGTACGTGGCGAAGCGAGTGAAGCGACGACAAAATTAGCGAGCTGCGGTGTTGGAGCGACGGAAGGGAGAAAAGATGTGAGCCAGAGCCACAATATTGGCTCAATGGCCACGAGACGCGGCCCCGTTTGCCTCCCTACGTCGTTGCCTCGTTTTGTCGTTTTCTTTTTTTTTCTCGGTGTCTTCCTGTCTCGGTGTCTTCTGTCTCGTTCGCTTGTCTCCCTGATCTTGCCGCGTGGTCCATGTTCGACCTGGCCAATGCGTGTCAGCAGCATGACCGCGGATAGGGCCACAGCATGTGCGAAAGGGAGAGCGTTACGGGACATCAGGGAGATGTACAGCAGTTGGCAGTAGGGAGAAACGGCATAGTAAAATATCACAAAGACACTAGCCGACAAGCCACGGGTCACAGAATCCAATCTCCATTCTATGCTCGGCGCCACATCCAGTTGACAGGTCAAACCAGTGCTGCCAGAGCTTTGCGTTCCTGGTCAATGTTTACATGAAAACTTAATCGCAGCATGCCGCAGAAGAACGATCTGCCGGTTACAGCATGCCATGCCGTTGCGACACGCCAGGGCTTCGATTCTGCGTGTCTATCAAAATATACTGCAAGCTGAAATCGTTTGTTTCTAAATGTCTTGTTCTGCCTCTCGTCATGCAATGTCCTGTGCAGCATATGTTGTACATGACTCCGCGTCAGGCCTGCGCGACCGTTGCCAGACCCCTTCATTCCTTACAGTTTGCAGTTCTGTCTATCCAGACGGCGGGGAAGTCAACGTAAAGTCTTGTCTCGGGAGTCGATGTCGGTTGAGTTTGCCGTGGCTGACTGCCGTGGCTTGTTCTCCTTTGTCAAACCTTTGTGCGACAGAGACAATTGGTCGCCGTTCAGCAGTTGTCCTCCGTTTTTGTACCTGGCGCTCATTGTGTGCCTTTTCTCGTTTTCTCTTTCTACGTGCACCAATGTCTCGCTCGAGAAAGGGAGGCGCCACCAGGAAGATCGCCCTTTTGCAGACCTCTGTTTGCTATTCCGGCCTTTGACTCCTCATTACGGCGTACAATATACAATAAAGAGGGAAAGGGAGATAAACTTTAGAAAACAAACAAGCAATCAAATGACACCGATCACGATGAGCGATCGACAGGCTCCTGTCGGTCGTTTCTCATGGCAATGCTCACCCATTCCGTTGACATGTCATTCGCATATCGGCTTTTCACTTGGCGTTGTAAATCAATGCAATACTTTCGTAGATGGAGGTGCGCAGGCAAAACATGGGTGATGCGCATGCTCTCGGGTAAAGTTCTCGCAGTGCGTGTGGAACACACTGGACGGCGATCCCAAAGTATGACGAGTGGACAAATACGTTGTGATGAGCAAGGAAGACGGCGCTGCACCCAAGTGACGATCTGGCCCGGTGCTGATCGTTTGGGAGCGACAGGGAGCGAAACAGAAGAAAGCGTCCCAGGAGACGGGCGAGGCGACGATCGTTTTGGATTTATCCAGAATCCCGGCTCGGGAGAGCACATCGTGGGAAACAAACCTGGCGCATGCATGTGAATGTATCAACAAGCTGTACAAACCGGTCAATCTACATTGGCTTGCATCAAATTCGCAGCATTGACACGTAAACGAGCGGTTGTTATATCTGCCCGGTACCAGTGACAACAAGGCAACGTCGGATAATTCATACTCGGTGTCGGATATAGGGAAGGGGACAATACGAGCAAGAGACGGTTGGGAAAGACATCGGAAACCCGGCATGATACATCTCAGATGACAATATAATAAACGTGGGATACCGGTAATTATTACTGGTGATGGCTAATTATCATTGTCGTTTTCGAAAGGTTTCCCAAAATGTTGGTTTTCAGATGAATGGAGGCACAGGGGGGAGGAAAATGTCGCAAAAAAGGCCAAAAAAAAAGAGAAAAAGAAAAAGAAATAAAAAAAAAGAGTATGAATCCACGCAGAAACTATACCAAAAACCAAAGGAAACAATTCAACAAAGGAAAACAAAATCATTGAGTTGAAATTTCCTGCTTGACAGGTCTGCATCCACATGGGTATGCATGCGTCATATCTGTATTCGTAAAAAATGGGACACTTTCGGCGACGCCCTGCTTATCCAAAAAGGTCGGTTGGAGAGAAAGTGCCGTGGCTTTGTTTGCGGCCGACTCATATTTGTGGACTTTGCACGCAGACAATGCGTCTGGCGATTTCGACAAAGTTTTTGTTGTCCCACTGGCCAGCGCTTTGTCTAGAGACCAGCGGGAGCACCTTGAGACTGATGCCTGTTCCAGCGCTGGTTGCGCTTAGTTAGGGCCCTCGACCTTGCTGCTGGTGAGGACAACAAGAGGAACAACAATCGCCAGGTACACGACGTTGACGATAATCGAGAGCACCTGCAACTTGATGTACAGCAAGTACACGCGCTTCCACGAGGCGCGCGAGAACGTGCGGAAGGCGTCGCGGATCGTGACGTACGAGCGGCCGCCGACGACGGCGGGCTCGACCGTGCCGTTGAAGGAGCGGTCAAACGGCACGACGGTTTCCTCGTCAGGGGGCAGAAGGCTGGCCTGGACGCGGACGAGGATGACGTTGGCGGGAATGGAGAGGGCAAAGACGAGCACAAGGGCCACCACGAAGAGAACAATCGCCTTCCAGATCAAGTCGTGCGAGTAGGCCGGCACCTCGTACGACGGGCCGGAGTGGTGCTGAGGGAGGTCCAGGGCCTTGGTCAGCAGCACGCTGACGAGGGTGGTAACGACGCCGGCGGCCCACTGGAGGAACGTGGGGATGGAGGTGGCCTCAAAGGTGCGGCGGAAAGGCGGCAGGTTGCGCCACACGGGGGTGGAGGACGGCGTGGCGCGAATGACGGTGTGCACCCAAGCAGTCTGCAGCTGGACAAGGCCGAGGGCCACAATCAGAGCGGCAACGAAGCTCGGCACGAAGGGAATGGCCGCGACAGCGAACGTGCCCACGGCGGCGAGGATGAAGATAAGGACCGCCAGCCAGAAGCCGCGGTAGTTGCCACGCCAGCCGTTGGCAGCACGGAGCAGCTTGTACGTGCGGCGGATGCTGGCCGTGACAGGCTTGCTGGGGGGCTAGCCTGAGCAGCGGCCTCCTCGTCGGCAGCACCTTCATCGGCGCTCGGGGCAGCGGCCGGAGCAGCATCGTTCTCATCACCAGCAACAGCCTCGTACGCCGCCGGCGTCGGGTTCTCCACGATGGCCAGCGTCGTGTAGACGGACTTGAGCGAATAGGACGTCTAAAGCGGGTCAGCACTGCGAGGCCCACACACATTTATCCGCTGGAGATTCCGGTGCAAAATGCATGATTTTCATGTTTCCATCACTTGTCTCACGTACAAAAAGAAAGGCTGGCACAAATAGGAGCGTGATGAGGAAAACGAGGCCCCAAGTCAGCGGCGGCAGTTTGTAGTTGGGAGCTTCCGGCGTGTTTTGGTCGGGCTCATCAGGGTTGTTGCCCATGCTCCGCTTGAGGACGGCGAGGCCCACAGCGGCATACTGAAGGTGTGACATAGCGGCGGCCGTGGAATGCGGACTGAGGTGGAAAAGACGTGGCGTTATGGAGTTCCAAAAAAAGAAAAGGTCTCGCGAAATGTCGATGAAGACAGATGCAGAAACGAGGTAGAAAGAGGAGAGAAGAGAGGAAGGAACGAGGAAAGAGAGGCACGAAAAGCAAAGTGGGCTGCGCCTTCCTTTTGTTCAATGTGAAGGCAAAAAGGGCCGGGCAACCCGCTTCGACAAAGAAGCAGCGACCGGACAGCAAGCGTCAACTTTGTCACATTTGGTGAGGGGCGGCGTCGAATGCCCGTAGGCAGCCACATTTTGGGCCTAGTCGCGCCAAGCGCAGCAGGATCACACTATGCCATGGGGAGGAAGGCAGGTACCCAAACAGGCTTGCAGGCCGCAGAGGTCCTTCCAGCCCACAAAATGAAGGCTCAGGAGGACCTAGCAGCCTGGCGCCTGGGTCGCTCCTGCCACACGTCCACGCCATCCAAACAGGAGGATTCACATGGGGTAAGAAAACGGGACACGGCGTAACACCTTGCGTAAGAAACTAGAGGAATACGACGACATGGTTGGTTGAGCATATTGTCGGATGACGCAAAGGGACGGTAAGGCACCACAAGCGACACGAAACAGACAATTTGTGGGTGTTGCGTGCAGCGTTGAATGCCTTTCTTCGATCTTTCTTTGGAGCTCAGCGATCGCCCGGTGGCGCCTGCCGCCGTTGTGAAACCCGCGACGCCATACGTCATGGCCCCTTCACCATACCTTTACGAGCTGGAGGCAGGTGCGACGGAACAACGGCGAGAAAGGCAAGAGCTGGAGAGAAGCACAATACCATTTGCCGATGATTCGTCGCTCCACCGAATACGAGTATCTTCGAATGTGCACCGCTTTCTCGCATAAACATGCGGAGCAAATTGTTCAGATGCCGAGAGCAAACGGTCACGCTGGCACCGCCATGGTAGCTTTGCGCAGTTTGAAGCTTGCTTTGCGAGCTCGTTGCAGGGCCTGGCAGACGCTGTGAGCCAATCGTTTCGGCCGCTAAAGGACCCACTCACACGCTAGACGCCAGAAGCTTGGGGGAAGGAAGCTGCACCAGTCCCTTCCTAGGGTGCACAACCCAGATCTCAAGGCTTGTGCAATCATCGTCCACACGGTCCACACGGTCTTCTCGCAGCCGGGCCAAAGACGGGGTGGAGCAGCATTGGAATCATGCGCCGAGCTCTGACTGGGACACCGCTTGCGTAATTAGCCGACGACAAAAATAGAGAACAATGGTCTCACCGCCAAAGACCGGGCCCCCACCGCCGGGTTCCCGGGCCGTTTCAACGCCAACTCCGACTCCGGCACTGGACTCGGCGTCAAATCCGACACCACACCCTACACCGAGCGTGACACCTCCACAGCCTATGGCGGCGCCGTCTATACCGAACCTTCTTGGCCGGCTGGGCAATGGACCGCCACGGTCGGGCCGCGGCGGTCGCCGAGGAGTCGGACGCGGAGGCAGCTCTCTCGGGGGACCGACAGGGTCTGGGCCAGCGCGTTTCGCACCACCATCACAGCACGGCGGCGGCATGCCTGGTAAAATGGACCACAGCGGCATCATCCAGAGCACAGACACCGACGCGGCGCTGTCGCGTATGAGTGCCGTTGACCTTGGCCTGCTGCAAGACCCGTTCGCCCAGTACTTTGCAGGTGACGGCGGCGGACCAGCTCCTCGACGGCTGCCCATTATCAACCGAGGTGAGGATGCAGGCGAGATAGGGTATCGTTCTCTTCAATATATACGCTGGTATTCGCTAACCGTACCTGGTAGGCACGTACACGCGGACTCAGGGCCTGGACAAGATTATTCGGGCGTTCCTGTCCGGCGCGCCGTCCAGAGAGACAACGCCAGAGCCGTCACCACAAGCAGTACAGACACCATCGCCGCTGCACGTCCGCCAAATCGTCTCTCTCGGTGCCGGCACCGACACGCGAAGCCTGCGGCTGCTGGCACAGAAGCTGCCGGACGGCCACGCCGCCTTCCAAAACGTCATCTACCACGAGATCGACTTCCCGACAGTCTGCGCACGCAAGCGCAACATCGTCCAGTCTGTGCCCGCGATCCGGTCTTTACTAGAGGGCCCAGTAACGGAGCATTCCCCGCTGGCTGGAGCCATAGGGATCCACCGCAGCTGGCGCGCCGGCCTGGGACAGGGGAACGAGCTCTGGGCCCACGGTCTGGACCTGCGAGAATTGGCAGCGGGCAGCGGCAGCAGTTTCAGCACCAACACCACCAACAGCGAGAAGGGGAGATCAGACGTTGTCCTGGCTGGCTTCCGGACGGACGTGCCGACCCTACTTGTGTCCGAATGCTGCTTGTGCTACTTGCAGCCGCCTGAGGCGGCCGCGGTGCTGCGCTGGTTCGCCGACCGCATCCACCCCCAGCCTGCGTCGCTGGCCGGCCTCGGCGTGGTCATCTACGAGCCCATACGGCCCTTTGACGCGTTCGGTCGCACCATGGTGGCCAACCTGGCGGGCCGTGGGATCCAGATGCCGACGTTGGCGGCATACCCCGACGGCGCCGCGCAAGAGGCGCGACTGGTGCAAGAAGCAGGCCTCGCGCGGACCAAGCACCGGACGATTGATCAGATCTGGAGCGCGTGGGTGGCCGCCGAGGAGCAGGAGCGCGTCAACCGGCTCGAGGGACTGGATGAGGTCGAGGAGTGGGGGCTGCTGGCCAGCCATTATGTTGTTGTCTGGGGATCGCAGGGCGCATATTTTGACACGGCTTGGGCGGAGTTGTACGAGCAGTAGGAACGGCATCCTGGGACCAGTTACCAAATACTGGGCAGAGAAGGGGCGCATTACATTACATTCGTATCAAAAGCGCAAGGCATTAGGAAAGAATACCTGTTGAAATAACCAAGAGTAACAAAACAAATCAAGAAGAACGCTCTCGTTCGCCAAGGACCAGTACAAACGCCAAACGCAAAGCAGACTGCCAAGGGCAGGACCAAAACCAGCACAAAACACAAGACGCAAAATAGCCGCACAAATCCTCTTACGCCTGCTGGGCAATAGCCATTCCGACAGCTCAAAGCCAGAGTCACAAAACGGAAGAGACGGATAATAGACAGAGTGCAAAAATAAGTTGACAAACCGGTGTGCCAAAACAAATCAAAACTATGCAACACAAGATTAGTATGGCATGTCATGCAACGGTATCTGAACTGGCCAAAAGAATGGGGAGAGGAGGCAATTCTTACCAGCTTGAGACTTGGGCGCGACGACAGCCGCGTGCCGTTGAGCATGGCGCGGTACTTTTTCTGGCGCACCTGGAGTCGCCGGAAGGCTTCTTGGATGTGCTTCACCTCGACGGGCGTGCGCCCTTCGCCGGGCAGATTGAACAGGCCCTGGGCCAGCTTGCGCTTCTTGGAGCCGCGCGCCTCGTCGCCTGTGCGCTCCTTCCACTGGTCCTCGTGGTCCTTAATGCGCAGCGCCTCTTCGGTGAGCGTCTGGACCATTTCGAATGTCAAAAAGCCCAGGATGTCGACAATGTCGTCGGACGGCTTGCTGTCGGTAACGACGCCGAAGCCGGCCCACTCGCGGAAGCGCTTGCTCTTGCGGTACGTGAACGACGCCTGTCGATATTCGGACCACGTCACGTACTCCTCCCGGGTCATCGCCTTGGTGCGCTCGTCTGCCTTGCGCAGGCGCTGCAGTGTAATGTAGTTCATCTCCTCCTCCTCCTCGTCTTCCTCCTCGTCGCGCTCGGGCACCTCTTGGTTGAAATAGGAGACAGGTTCCCACGGCAGGACCTGCTTGTTCTTCTTGTTCTTCTTGGCCGCATCTTCAACGGGCGCACCGGCTATGGGCGCACCGGCCACATCATCGCCACCGCCAATGTCCACATCGGCGCCCTTGTCGTCCGAGTCCTTGACGTTCTTGCGCACGTCCTTCCACGATAAGAAGGTGCGGAGGCGTGACACCTTGGGCGCGTCGTGCCGGATCTGGAAGATGAGATCATTAATGGTGATACTCCGCGATCCACGCCGTGCAGCTAGCTCCGTGCAACTTCGTAGCTATAAAAGAAGACAAAAGGGTTAGACAATAATATAATAATATGCAATGGCGCGACAGTCGGCGTTGCGACAGTGGAGGAGCATACCAGTTCAATCACCTGCTGCCGGACAATTTCTTCGATAATAGAGAGTGTCTCTAGAGATGGTTCGCCAGTCTCGCCACTGACGTACATCATCTGTATAATGCTTTCGCGTAAGTCATTCCGGATTCTGGCAAGATTGGGCATTGGGGCAGTATAGTGCATCTCCGTGGTCTGCATGTACGCCCCCGTAGGTGTCTCCGTAGGGGTCTGTTGGTTGTGTCTCGTATACTGCACGGGCTCTTCCTTCTTGGCACTCTTCGCTTTCTGGACTGCGGCCATTTCCTTTTGCTTGGCCATTGGTCTTCTCGCAGGCTTCGCCCGCAGTTTGGCATCTTCCCTCTCCCGTCTCTCCTCCACCTTCACTTCCGCCTCTGTTTCAACCGCAATTGCCGTACACTTGGCCGGAGCTAGACTGTCCTTGGGTTTTGCTCGCGACTTGCGGCGTTTGATGGTGGTGCTGTTCTGGATCATCGCGTCCGCCTTGGCAGCCTTGACACAAACGCCGGGCGGGTAGAACACGCCAGTTGGAGGCGTCGCAATGGAAGGGGCATCCTTTTTGCCCACACGCATCCGGCCGCCGCAGCGAGGAGCCTGCACTGGAGCTGTTGTCGTCGAGGTTGCGGTCGCAGCCTCTGTCATCGCAGCCGTCGGTGCCTTGCCCAAACGTACAATCGTCGATGCGGTTGCAGACGCGACCGCATATGATATGGGCAAGACAGGCGTCAAGTGCGGAGTGTCCACGGCCATGGAGCCGGAGCCATTGCCCTGGTATGGCTCTGGGAGCACAGGTGGCAGGAGAATGATGGGCAAATGCTCGTCTTTTGGCTTCATCATTGTATGCAATAGCAGAAATCAACTTGGAAGAAGGCTGGTGGTTCCGCACAGAGTGTGAAGCGAAGAAAAAGGCAAACGGGTCCGAAAAGTCAAAGGTCGAAAGTCGAAACGCCGTTTTACGGCGTGGACGAAACGGCATCGAGAATTGAGCACGCGTGGGAGAGCGTAAGAGCACGCCCCAAATTGAGGACAAAAGCGAAGGAAAAACTAATAAACAAACAAATACCCCTCCTCAAAAAAAACGTGGCCAGATACCGACACTTATCAGCGCCCGACGAATGTTACACAGAACGATACCGATCTTTGTCATCGTAGAGTGGAAGCCTCCACCGTCCAAGTCGCGTCGAAGTTGCTACACTTTGCAGTGTGCCGGAGACAGGAGATGCAGGACACGACACGGAAAAGAACATGGAGATGCATAAAGGACGCAAAGAACCGGGACGGTTACTGACCTGTTGAATCTCCTGCTTGTACTTGTTTTGCTTGTCGCGGTCGGCCATGGTGTCGGATGCTGTACGGGCAGCGGGCGCGTGGTCGAGGCGGGCTTCGCCGGTGGCCGTATTGCTGACGAAGGGAATCGACCAGAACTGAGCGACTGGGATGCGGCTGCTTCCTCGTCTCGCCACCGATGGATTTGGATCGCAATTACAATAGTACACGGCGCAATGTCGCAATGCGCAAAATGGAGGCCCGGTAGTAATACAAGCGGAGAAAATAGAGAAAATATAACCAAAAAGAACGTCCAAAAATGCACCAAAAACGACCGAACGAATACTGATAGAGGAGGCCGGGGAAGTGCGCGGGTGTTGTCGCGATGCCGGCGAGCCAGGAAGGGAGATGTGGTGACGGTTTTCACAGGAGATGTCGTAGATTGGCGACAGACGGTTGGTGGAGCGTGGGGAAGTGAACCTTGCGGGCGTGTCCGTATTACTTAATCTAATCACGTGCAAATCGGCGGGAGGTCAATACAGTGCGAATACAGTGTCAACATTTGTTGTCATGTTGTCGCACAGTATTGTCTAAGTCTTGGCCGTGCTGTGTTCGACGTACAGTGCCTCAATCATTTCTTATGCAACCTGGTCTTGGTACTGAAGTCTCATACTTACTTGGGCTTCGTCTAATTAGTAGTTGAAGTAATCTCGCTGTAGCCACATGGTTTTACATATGCGTAAATTCTCTTTTGGTTTTTATTGGGACCCATAGGGACAAATTATACTTTATACATAAGGATAGGTAGATATGTTGCCAAAGCAAAGGCGTGGCTCGTAACCGCCGAAAAAAAGGACTTGGGAATAAAGACAACGGCCTGTGAAATATCCAATAAACGGGGAATCGAAACGAGAAACTAAATCGGAGAGAAAGTAAAGGGAAATATATAGAGAAAAAGAAAACATCCGCAAGTCATAATGGTACCTAGGACTGAACGTGAAGCGTCGATCTAAAATTCATGAGGCAGTCTCATCGAAGCCTGGACAAAATATGCGTAACAGAAGGAGGGTTGTTTGAAATTTCAACTTGAAATCGAAGGAACAAAAGAAAACTTGTGGGACAAGAACATAGGGGGACGTTTTCTTACAACACGGCGGTCCCTTGCCGGATGTTTGTGTACCTGCTCGTCGGGAAACTGAGGAGGTTTTGGCCCCCGGCAGGCTGGGCAAACTGCTTGGCAAACAGGCCGACCAGGCTGCGTTCGTTGTCGGCGTCGCCGCTGGCTTCCCAGAAAAAGACCCCGCCGAGTCCGTTCTTCTGAATGTACTGCGCCTTGTGGTAGGCCGACTCCGGGCTGTCGTAGCTAATGAGCTCTTGCGTGGACTCGTCATAGCTGTACGCTCCCACGGCCGTCTCGTCAAACTTTTCGTCCGCCCCCGGCCGCGGCAGGCTCTTGTAGGACCACACACCCTGTCCCAAGTTGCCGCTGCCGACACCCGAGTACGAGTCACCGAGGCCGCCGGTGGCATCAAATGAGCGCCCGTACAGCGGCAGGCCCAGGTTTATCTTGTGCGCGGCGACGCCGTGGCTGCGGTAGTATGACAAGGCGGTGTCGGTGTTGACGACCGTGGAGTGGGCCACGCTGGGGTTGGCATAGACGTTCGCCTGGTGGCTCGCGGTGGTGCCCCAGCTGCCGGCGTAGTCGTAGGCCATGAGATTCCACGAATCCAGGTACGTGTTCATGCCCGCAATGTCCATGGCCTGGTAGTGGTCGGGGCCGGCGGGGCTGGCAAACGAGAGGAGGAAGTGGTAGCCCGGGGCATATGTCGCTGCATAGGCGTCAAACGCGTCGCGGGTGGCTTTGAGCAGGAGGACGGCATTCGCCTTGTCTTCTGGAGTCGCAATATATTCCCAGTCGATGTCGGCCCCGTCAAATCCCCAATCGGTCACAAGCTGCACCGTCGTATTGGCAAACTGCTTACGGGTGGCAGCCGTCGATGCGGCGGCCGAAAACACGTCGCCCTGGCCGTAGCCGCCGATGGACAGCAGCACCTTGAGATGGCGGTTCGCCTTCTTCAGAGTGTTGATCTGCTGGACGTAACCACCTGCAGCAGCACTGCCTGCTCCGTTGGCCGAGTCTGACGACCACGTCGAGCCAACATCTGTGGCTTCACTGCCGGAGGACCTGTGTAGTTGTTAGAGAGACTGGTCTTGACGCCTCTTTTTTTAAAAAAAGGAGAAAAGAAAAGAAAAGAAGAGAATTCATATTCCGTAGAATGCACTTACACTGTGCCATCGGAGGCAATACTGGCAAAGGCATATAAGACATGGGAGATCTTGTTGACCGGAAGCTGGTTTGGCTGGATCTCGCCGCTGAAGTATTGTTAGCAGATGCTACGGAAACTGTAAGAAGGGGAGAAACTCAAACTGAAAAGTAAACACACCCATTTGAAAAGTACAAGGAAGACGTAAAGCCACCGCCGGAACCACCACCAACGGGAACGGCAGTGCTGCTGGGAATCGATCCTGTGCCTGATAAGCTGGGCACCGTCGCATTGGGCCAAGAGCTGGGTGATGGGCTCAGAACGACGTCCCTGTCCTTGACATATGCGGGAGCGGCCGCCACCTGTGTTGCCAGAAGCCAAGAGATGGTTGCAACGGAGAGAGACTTCATGGTTGTGCAAGCGAGTCTTGTTGAGTTGGTGTAAGGCAAATATGGTGCAAGTGCTGTAAGTCGGATATAAACACCAAAAAAAAAACGATAACAAAAATGGCAATTTCAAAATTATCGATATGATACTTAAAGAAAGCGAGAGAGGATGAAGATAGAGAGAAAAAAACTGAAGAGTTTGAATGAGCATTCGATTTATAAATACAAATTATGCCAATGTGTACGTCGGGAGGTCCTGGTGAGGGTTGTCAAGGAATGTAGATCAGTGGATCTCCCGCGATGTTAGCCACTTGGACGCTTGGCCGAAGATAATCGACCAGAGAGGCTGAACAGAAAAAAAGAGCAGCGCAACGAACGAAATGGCCTGAATAGTACCGCAGTCTGAAAAAAAAAAAGAAAAAGGAAGGCGTAGTGAAAAAGAAAATCATGAGAAAAGAGACAAAATCGAAAGATCAAAATTTTACATGATACTCGGAAGGCTCTCCGCTGTATACATTTTTTTGTGGAACTGGTGATGGTCGACATGAGCAAAAGTCATGCAACGGAGTATGGAAAAGAGCGGAGGTCGGAAAATAATACAGCATATAGACAAGCAGAAACAGAAAAAACAGGTAACAGCTGTTTTGAGACCCGTTTTGCTTTGTTCAGGGGCCGCTTGCTTGTTGATTTCGCGGCGTGCAATTGATTGCTTGCCTTTAGCCGCATGTCATGCCTGCCAGACTCCCGGAGCAAACGCGAGCGGGCGAAGGTGTTCAGGACGAATATCTGTGCAACATATATTAATCAAAGTAAAAACACAACCCAACTTTTGAGCATAAAATACCATCAACGTTGGAGATGAAATGTTTGGTTGGTTGTTGGGGTTCAGCAAGGCTTGGATTTAGAGATGAGACAAAGTCACGGGACCCTTGCCGATCAATTCTTCATCACGGCCAGTACAGATACTGCCAAACAGGAAGATCCGACACTGGAAAATGGATGGCAGGTGAATTCCTGGGCGGCTGTTCACTTGATCGGCCGGGCGAGGTAAGTCAATCGACGCCGGAGATCGCATTGTTCGAGGATGTTGGCAACCGGCGAGGCTGTGAACATCACAGGATGCGCGGAAAGATCATCTTCAATGAGAGGTCGGTCATGCCGTTTGTAGAGCGCTCCCATATAGTCAGAACCAGTTAATACGGCCCGAGTGGGATCGCGGATTCGCGATGCGAGGCGGTTGTCTTCTTGGCCCCTCACGACAGGTAGCCCACACCCTGGGGCAGTTTGAATTTAAATGTCATTGTACAATTTCGGAATGAAGGGGAGAACAAGCAAATGGACTGGCAAGGGGAGGTATAATCATAGCTCCCAATAACATGCTGTAGGGCCGTGACTGCGCGATGATTCTCTGGTAGAAGCGCCGGCGTCACAGATGCTTTGATCCTGTTGATGGCGATGGGACCAGGATTCTGTGTTAACATAGCAGTATAACATAGTAGTATAAGGCACACCCTGGATACTGGGAAGCGGAAGATAAATGAAGCGTAGTATGCGACGAGTCGGGAGAGAGAAGAATAGATGAAGCCAACAAAAGATGGTCCCTGGGAACACAACATCCAAAAAGGGGAACTGGAAACCTTAGTCATTCGGATGCTACTTTATGCGTCGTTTCGGCGGGAAGGCGCGAATGGATAGGCCTTCAGTCTCTCTCAGGGGAGGCACAGCTGCGGTTACATAATTTCTTGGGGACCTTTCGCTCGCGCGGCGATAGTGCTGACCCGCTATTTCTGCCGCTGGCTTCCGCCGTGTACTTCTTCCGTGGCCCCCTTTCTTTCGTCACCGCTTAATTTCCAACGGTTCAGGCCAACGCCATCTTGCACAGCTCCCGTCAAACGTGCACACCCCGGCGACGATCGTAGAGCATTCTCCTTTCCACGGACCAAACCGACGACCCATCCGACGACCTACGCGACAAAACGCCCGACTGCCGCTCCCTTTTCAAACATACCACGCCTCACACAATTAGTCGCAGTCTCGTCTCTGCTCTCGAGGGGTCTGTAGTACGGCACACCCCGACCGCATTCTCCTTCTCGTCGCCCCTCCCCGTCCTTCTCGCCCTCCTCACGTGGCCGGCCGCCCCGCCCGTCGCCCGGCATGCTATCTTTTATCCTTATCCAGAACCGGCAGTGAGTCTCGGCCACGATGGACGTTGCAGCTTTGTCGAGACGCTGGATCACTTGGAAGAACTAACCACTCACACACGTTCACGTTCCCAGAGGCAAGACACGGCTGGCAAAATGGTACGTGCCGTACACCGACGACGAGAAGATCAAACTTAAGGGCGAGGTCCACCGTCTCGTGGCGCCGCGCGACCAAAAGTACCAGAGCAACTTTGTCGAGTTCCGCAACCACAAGGTTGTC